ATCCTCTAGAGCAGGGATCCTTAATCTTTGTATGACATGAGACCCTTTGGCAGTCAGATGAAACCTAATACTGTTTTTAATTAATTGAAGGAAATGCTAAATTTAGTTAGAAATTCATGAAAAAAAAAGATGTCTTTTTTCCCATCTAAGTTTGTGGAACTCCCAAAATCTATTTACAGACTACTTGCCCCAGATTAAGAACCCTTGCTGGATGGGAGGCTGGGGGGAGTGGGTGCCACAACAGTGCACTCATGATAAAGGAAGCAGTGGTTTCCATCACACTTCCTGTAAGTTCGGTAGCTGCCACAAGGTTCACCCTGGAGTCCTGGATTAGAGTTCAGAGGTCTTCCAGGGAGGTTAGAGTTTCCCAGGCTCTGCTCCATGAAACCCTGACGTTGAGTATGAAGTGAGGAAATGATCCCAATGCTTTTATTTGGTTAAGTTTCTGTGGGAAAATGTTGATGCCAATAACAGATAAAATGTGAAATATTTTAAATATTTCTCTAAATATCCCTCTAAAATGTGGAATAGCACATTATCAAAATCACACACAACAGTTTTTCTACATACAAATCTAAAAGTAACGTTGAATGGTGCATTAAACTTTGCAAAGTATTTTTCCATGGAGTCTCCCATTTGTCTCTCACAAAGTCCTTTTTAATAGGTGCTATTATTATCCCCTACGGGAAAGGCTGCTCAGAGAACTTGTGACTTTGCCCGCTGTCCTACAGCTGGCAAGTGTCTGAGGCAGGATCCCAACCTGAGTTCTGCAAGCTAGACACTAAACTGCCCTCTCTTTCCTATGAAAGTAAAGGACTTGCCCAAAGTTCTCCTTTTAACCCTTTATACCAGGGATATTTCACACTCTCTCCCCTCACAATTTACCCCCAAGTCCTTCCAGGATCTTTAGGTTCTGTCAGTCTACCAGGTCTAAAAATGGTCTTTGGTCAAATTAGTAGAGAAAAACATAGAGTAAGCAACTTTTGGGCATGGATAACGGAGAGAGGTCAGACAAAGCATTTGTTTTTGGAAAACATTTCAGAGAACATCTAGTCCCAGGATTCTTATCCTTTATTTCAGTCATGGACCCTTTTGGCAGACCTGTGAACTTCTTTTCATAATAATGTTTTTGAATAATTGAAGGAAATACTAAATTTCAGATAGAAGCTAGTGAAAATAAAGATGCAATTTTTCCCATCCAAAGTCATAAGCCTCCTAAAATCTATCCATGGGCCCCTTGGGGGGGTCTCTGGACCCAGGTTAAGAGCCCCAGTCTAGCCTAAATCTCTCCTTTAAAGATGGAGAAATTGAGATATAAAGAAAGGGCTACAGTTGACTCAAGATCTTTCAGTGCCTTATTGGTGGGGCCTCCTGATCCCTGGCGTGGTACTCGCAGGTACCCTCAAAATCGCGTTTCATTCACCTAGCAACACCGGCTCCTCTTCAGACCCAATCATTAGAGCCACGAGGGATCTTGCCCACGAGCAGCAGAGTTCCTGATAACAGGAGAACGATAGATAATGATTTCTTATGATAATAAACACAGGATCTCCAACCTAGAGCTGGAAGAAACCTCAGAAGCCATCTAGCCTACTCCCTCGTTTTAGATGAGGAAACTGAGGTCCAGAGAAATGAAGAGACTCGCCCAAGGTTGTATGGGCATCAGAAGTGGCATTTGGACGACAGGCCTCTATATATGGAGTTGGTGCTCTTTCCGCTACATCATGTCACCTCCTTGTCACAGTTGTAACACTGCTGCCTAGACCCTGAATCTTTGCAGGGGGAGGCAAGGCTTAGAGAGACCGGAGCATAAGTCTCTATCTCAAGGGGATCTAGAATCTGGAGATGCAAAATCTCCTACGAAGTGCCACCTTTTACTGACCAGTTAAGCTCCTAGAGACCAAAGAAACTGCAATAGCATCATTTTGCTGAAGATGCAGAATAGTTACTATTTGTAGGGCATTACTTGGAAGTGATCCCAACACACATATGCAATTAAGGGATGTGTGTAGTCACACATACTTGATTGTAACGCAACTTGTTTACTAGTGCTCACCAAACTCTTCCTCTGATGTCCCCAATAACCAGGAAACTCTAACTCTTAACCTTTCCCCCACTCTTGGTTTCTCTGGCTTCCTTCAAAACTCAGCTCAAGAGAGGTAAGCAGAATCAGGAGAACACAAAGTAATGGTGATCTATTGTGAGAGACTTGGCTACTTGGACTAACACAGTGATCCAAGACTATTCCAAAGGACCTGTGATGAAAAAACGCTGTCTACCTCCGGAGGGAGAGAACTGATGAGCTCTGAAGGGTAAACTGGAGCATACTTTTTTCTTTTTTTTTTTTTGTTGCTTTAGTTTTGCTCCATGGCTAATATGGAAATGTTTTGCATGACTTCACATGTATAATGGATATCATATTGCCTGCCTTCTCAATGCATGGGAAAAGGGCTAGAGTGAGAATTTGGAACTCAAAAAAATGTAAATGAATATTAAAAATAAATGAATGAACATACAAATAAAGATATATAAATAAATATTTTTAAAAGGCTAAGCTCAAAGCCCATCTTCGAAGGAAGCCATTCCCCATGTCCCTAGCTGCTAGAGCTTCCACTCTTAAGCTATCTTCCTTCTACACTGTAAGTATCTTGCAGGCACTCAGTTATCTCCATGTTGTCTCTCTCATTAGAATGTGAGCTCCTAGAGGGCAGGGATTTTTTTTTGTCTTTCTTTGTATCTCTGGTGCTTCCACAGTATCTAACTCATATCGAGCTCCTAATAAATGTTCGTTGATTGACTGATGCTTCGTCATTGTTTGGAGTCAGTCCTGTCCAATGCAACATTGTAGAAGAAGAAGTACAGGACAGTAGAAAGCAATGGATTTGGAGTCAGAGGATCTACATTCAGATCCCACCTCTGCCACTTAATTACTACCTGTGTGACCTTAGGCAAGTCAATTCACCTCTGTGCGCCTCAGTCTTCTCATCTGTAAGTTGGACTGGATGACCTCTGAAGTCTCGGACTGATGATCTCATAAGACAGAGGTTTCAGATTTGGTGTCATGTGGCAAAAGCTGAACCAGATTAAAATGTAATTGGTAAATGTCTGACAAAATAAATGTTAATGTGATAAAACCTAGAAAACATTAATTTGTAGTTTTCTGAGCCAATATGAGGCCCATAGGGATCAGTTTCTACTTGAGTTTGGCACCACTCTAAGTGGTGAAATACAGAGTCTGACTCTGAACTACAATCCACCCCCATGACAACCTTAACAAGTGGCTAACCATCCTGTGCTGAAAACGTCTGCTGAAGACAAGAAACTCTTTCTACACGAGCAGCCATACTGGGACATCTCTGACTGCAAGGAAGTTTTATTTCAGATCAGGAATAAATATGCATGTTCATAAAGCTGAGCCAGCAGAACCAAAGGTCCAGTTTTGAGTCAAGTCAGTGCCAGAAGCAGGCCTGTCTTCCAAGGCCTAGACTAGGGAAATAACCCAACTGGCCGCAGGATATGAGACTTTCAGCAAAGCAATGTTACTAAGGCATGAATGAAGGCATACACCTTGGTAGATAATCTGGGGGTGTTGCTTTGACTAAATTTGCCATGATCTACAATCAGTGGGGAAAAGACCTACACTGAATAATTCAGGGAGCCTTGAAGTGAGAAAGTTTGCACATGCTATAGGCCTGGGAATCACAAGGTGGCCAGAAAGCAGTTATCGCTTCACAGGCTTGTATGTGTCATAGTGCATTAGCCCTCAACTTAACCTTTTGCTAAAAAGGGCTTAGAACCCATTCAGCTTAAGAGAGGCTAAGCTTGGTCTCTCTTTCACAGCAGGAACAACAATAACAGCAAAAACCAGCAGCTGTGTGGGTCAGAGAGAATCCAGGGAAATGTTTTCTTGATTTTATTCTTTTTTAAAGTTTTTTATTTTTATTTTTACTTTTTTTCCCCAATTTTTAAACATTTTTATTAAAAGTTTTGAATTCCAAATCCTATCCCTTTCTCCCTCCTTTCCACCTTTCTCCCTGAGATGGATTGATTTTATTCTTAAAATGGAAGGATATCGCAATAGAAAAAAGCTCTAGTAAATATGAAAGCTAAGGATACACGTGCTTTACATGTGATAAAAGGAAAGGCAGTCATAGAGCATTCTCTGCATGCCTATGGATAGAAAGATGTTGCAACTAGTGTAGAATATTAGCCAGATGGCCTGGGTAGTGCACAACATTTAAAATAAACACAACCTTTCCCCCACCACACACACATACACATACACACAAAAGAATACCATCCTCCTTTTAAAAAAACACTCATTTAAGGTTTGAACACATCTTCCATTCCCAAATGAGTCCTTCATAGCTAAGCTGAGAAAATACCTTGCTATTCAAAGAGGAATATTTCTGTCTTGCCATTTGGTTTACAACAAACACAAACACTTGACTGGAACTTGCACATAATAGGTATTCAGTATACGTTTCTTGAACGAATATTGGCCTTCTCTGTTGACTACTATACTGTTGGACATACAGAGTACTGGACTTAAAAGTCAGGAAGACCAGAGTTCAAATCCAGACTCAGACACTTAATAGCTGTGACCCTGGAAAAATAATATAACTTGTCGGCCTCGGTTTCCTCATTTGTAAAATGAGATAATAAGAATACCTACTACACAGAGTTATTGTTAGGATCAGCTGAGATAATATATGTAGAGCATTTTGCAATCCTTCTTATGTAGTTAGTTACATGTTCATTCCCACATAAGCATTTGAAGACCTCCTTTGAAAGGCAGCCTTTCAAACTTGGGCTCCAAATTTTCTTTGACAGTCACTCTGGGTAACCCAGCTTAGCAATATGCCTTCTAGAGTCTCCCAGAACCTACACAGACTCACACAAGATTCTCTCACCCAGGACCTTGGGGGAAGGGAGGGAATCTAGCATCCCTCAATAATTCCAAAATCCCATGCCTTTAAAGAAGGAAACAGGACACAATCCAAGAGTTCAGCACTTTATTTTCATCGTGGCACACAGCTCTCACACAGGAGAGCAGGAAAGTACAAGGGAAAGATGCCCTTCCCACTCTCCCCCTAGAGAATCATTCCTGAAGCAGCTTTTCCATATTCCTCCCTGGGGACAGTGCCTAAATCATACTTTCCCACCCTCCCTCTGGAGGATGGTGTGTGAAATGGGCTTTCTCATCATCCTCAGACTTCCTCACCCCTTGGAGAAGGTTGTGACAGTTTTTGTGACATGTGCTGCATGGAGCAAGTGAGGTTCCCACAATGCCAAGAAAGGCAGAAGGGCAACGTGGAAAGGAAACTGCATCTGGAGCGAGAAAGAGTTTGAACCTTAATTCTAGTACTTACCACCTATATAACCTTAGGTAAGTTACTTCTATGGAGAAACTTACTGAATTATCATTATTATTATCTTATAAAAATGGCCACTGTGGAGAGCAGAGAAGGGAACCTAGAGACATATAAGGAAGGTGAGGGTCTTAGCTCTGGTTTTACTGCTACCTAACTGGGTGCTTTTGGACCAGTCATCTGAGATTAAGACAGGCATAAAATTGCTATCCCTCTATGTAATGTAATGAAGTCAAGGGTTGAACTGCAGAATCTCAGAACTGGAAACGAGCTTCATAGGTCATCAAGGCTAAGTTGGACCTTAATAGTATCTCCTTCTACACCATCCCCAACAAGTGAGCCTTCGCTTGAAAACTTCTGATGAGAAGTTCACTATCTTCTGACATACTCTGACCATTCAGTTATTTTTCTTTCTATTGAGTGAAAAGCTACTTTGCTGTGACTTCCCCCTATTTCTGGGGCCAAACAGAACAGAGCTAATCCCTCTTCCCATAATTCCCCTTCAAATACATTAAAACAATAAGCACAGACCCTAAGTTTTCTTTTCTATGGCTTAACTATCCCCAGATGCTTCAACCAATCCTCATATGACATGGCTTCTAGTCCCTTCACCATCTTGGTTGCCCTCCACTAAACTAATAGAATGATACTAAACATCCCTTCCCCTCTCTGAGCCTGTTTCCTCATCTGTAAAATGGAGTGATAACATCTGCACTACCAACCTTCCAAGGCTCCTGTGAGGAAAGTGCCTTGGAAACCACAAAGCTCTGTGTCTATGCACATATAAGCATAGAATCACAACATTTAGAGCTGGAAGGGACCTTAGAGGTCATTTAGTTAAACATTCCAACTGCCTAAATTTATAGATGAGAAAATTGAGTCCCAGAGAAGTTAGGTGATTCACCAAGTTACACAAATAATAAGTGTTGGAGCTGGAATTCAAAACCAGATCTTCTGACTCCAAATGCAGTGTCCTTTCTACAATGTCTTGCTAAAATATTTGGGGCTGCTTTATCTTCAGTGACAAATTGCTAAACCTCCTTACCTCCAGTCTCTGGCTCCATTGATTTCAACTTATTTCTTCTCTAAAAGGCTCCCAGGTGGCCAGCTCAGACACTGGTTTTTGAAACTTCTTCCTGCAGGGGATGCTGAAGGTGACATGGTCCGGCTGTCAAGCCATGACCTCAAGAACAGTATTTCCAGGAATCCCCATCTTAGCACCTAAGGGATTCCTGGGAAAACTGGACCCTGAGGACAAGGTTGGGAGAGTATGGTCTTCAGACCAGAGGGCTGACAGAAACGTCGATCCATTCATTCCCTGTAGATTATGCTGCTGTTGTCTTCTATGTCTTGAGAGTTTGGCAATAGTTGGGTACCAACAGGAGGCTCCCTGCATTCTACAGTGATCATTCACCACAGAGCATCCCACAGCAGCCACCAGTCCTAAAAAATCAGGATACTGTAAAGCTGGGAATGGGAGAGAGGCTGGTGCTGCTGTTGCTTAGGGGGAAACAGAAAGGGGAAGGTTCCTTCTCTTGCTCTTACCATTGTCAGGGTCTCTGGAAAGGAGGATACTTGAGTACAATTTCATGGGGATATTTAAAAGTGTCAAGAAGTAGGGAACATATTTGGTATGCGTTCAAAGGAATGGATCTAAAGTTGATATCCATTGATTGACTGGTTAAGCAAATTGTCACACATGCATGTAATGGGAGATGACTATGCTATGTGAAATGATGAATGTGATGAGTACAGAGAAGAAAAGGAAGACATGTGAGCTGATGCAAATGAAGTAAGCAGAACTAGAAAAGCAATACGCACAACAATGTACAATTTACAACAATATAAGTGGAAAGAACAACGTCACAATAAAAACCGAATGCTCTGACATTATGATGATTTTTAATCTCTTCTTCCAAAAGAAAAGCTATGAAAGGCCCCTTCTTCCCTTCTTTGCAGAAATGAGGACCTATAGGTATGGAAGACTTCAGATAACATTGGGCTTAGCTGACAGATACTAAGGTTTGCTGAACTATTTGTCCCTTCCTTTTTTATCCCTTGTTATACTGGATAGTTGTCTGGAAGGCAGAGAAGAGTGGATATATTGGGACTCACTACTGACCAGTTTCATGAGGAATTCTCCAGGTGGGCTTCTGGAAGCTGCGGTTCTGATCGTAAGAGTCCTTTTGCCTGCCTGAAGGAACGTGACTCATGAAGGGTCTCACTCTTGCTCTGGCTTAAACTGCTGGGATCTGTCCTTGAACATTCTGCCTGTACCTCAGCCTCGATACATCTGGAACCAAACTTACCTTCTGCACTAAATGGTTCCTCCACCTGATTTTCCTGTTTCTCTCCATGGTAGCATACCCTTCCTGGCCTCTTCCTCCACCCCTCTTGACATCTCCAAGTCCATTTTGGCCATGGCAAGGAGGAAAAGGGAGGAATTACTAACTCATCAGTCTCTAAGTTCTGTCAGTTCTCTTCTATAATGTTTCTTACATTTTTCTCCAGGGTTCATGGCCATCATCCAAGGTCAAAACTCTCACACAATGGCCTCCATATTGGTCTCTCTCCCTCCAGGGCCTCTTCTTTCAATCCATCCTATGAACACTGTTCAAGTCACCTTCCTAAAACTCAGATCACTATGCCACTCTCCTGCTCAGAAACCTTCAATGGTTCCCCACTGCCTGAGAATAAAGCCAGTATTTATCAAAAGAATAAATAAAATCTAAATGTCTTAGTTTAGGATTCAAAAGTTCCTGACATCTGCCATCCCTTACCTTTCAAATCTGTGCTCCCCTGGGCTCCACTGATTTGGACTGACTCTTTACCATTTCCTGAGCAGGCCCCGCCTCGACCCACTTCAGTGCATTTGCTCAGTTCCTTGGTTCAGCCTGCAATGTCTTCCCCATTCATTTCTGTTTACAGAATGTCTAGCATCTTTCAAGGAAGAATCCAAACAATGCTTCCTCCACGAAGTTCCCAGAAGGAAGTGGTCTTTGCCTCTTCTGAATGTGATGTTCATGTCTGAGGACATTTGCATAGTGGGACAGGGACTGGACCTGTGATTTCATTGATAAAGGGAACTGTTGGATGAGGAAGCTCCCCTATAGGTAAGGTATCGGTAGTAATTGGTAGCAATTGTTTGTCCTTCGTTCTCGAAGAGGACTGTGACATCAGGAAGGTAATGCCATGACTTGCAAGTGAATTGGATTTAAATGAGGGAGGGCTGGTCAAGGTCACCAGCCTCCGGAACCATCTGGGTCCGGTGGCCAGATTTTGATCAGGATGATTGGAGCTGGCTCCAGATGCAGTGGGAGATGTTGGCTTTAATAGAAAGCTGACTAGGAGTCTGGGAGTTGTCTAAGCATGTAGCTAGTATGTCAGACACTAGATGTCAACCCAAATATTCTGGTTCTGAGGCTCTCTGTCCTTATCCACTGCCTCTTTAAGCAGTATCCACATACTAACCTGTACTATGGCTATTTTTCTCACCAGTTCTACTAAAATGCAAGCTCTGAGGGAACGAAGATAATGTGTCACTCATCTCTGTTCCCTCACTGGCTCCAAATACAGGGGCTTGCAGCTGTGGCCTCTGGCAACGTTTGTTGAAAGACTGAACACATGAACAATAGAATGAATGAGTAAGAAGAATCAGCTCATGTGTCTACCTGATCCCTGATGTCCAGAAGAAGCCCAAAGAGTGTTTCAATCAGTCATCTTCTCAGGTCCTAAACTGTGTTCCGAGCTGTGGAGGTGGGGCCCCATTCAGAACTGACTTCACTCAAAGCTATGGGCATGAGGAGCAGGAGAACCTTCTCACATTGCCAGTGTTAAGATGAGGCATGCACCCAGGCCACTGTTCTCCTCTCCCTGTCCCTCTCTCCCCAGCTTCCACTTACCCAGCTTGGCTTGTTGGTCTCAGGTAGAGACAGAGGCTCCCAGAGAGGCAACTTCTTCCTCTTGAGCTGGACAGTTCCTCCCTTCCCGAGCTACAGTGCTTCATCTCAGACTCACAACTGACCAGAGATGCAGCACTGCACCTCGGGCTGGGAGACAAAGGAGGGGAAGGCAATCCAGATGGGCCAGATGTGGCAGTCCATTGCAACTGGCCCTCATAGGCACCAGAAACAGGAAACAAAGGGAGAAAACAGATGCCTACATATGATGTGGGAAAAAACTTTCATTAGGCAGATCTCATGAGAACCTTCTCTGAGAACCTTCTCTGACCCCACTATACTTTTTGTCTACACCATTAAGAGCTGTGCAACAGTTGATAATAGTACAATTTTGTACCATTTGTACATGGTGCAATTCTTAGATCATAACCTCATAGGAGGGCATCATAGAACATTAGAGTGAGTAGGGCTGTTGGAGATCAACTAGTCCAGTCTTCTCTTTCGATAGAAGAGGAGGCTGAAGGCCAGAGAGGACTATTCCAAGGTTCCAGGGAGTCAGGAGTTCCCACTGTAAGAAAGTTTTCCCTTGGTCAAGCGACAGGGAACACATATGGCACCTGGTCTTGGGGAGTCAGGGGGATCAACTTAGGGGAAATCAGTTCTATTTTTATAACTTCACAGACTCTGGGGTCTAAGCTCTGAGGCTTCACTTTCCCCTTACTTGAGGGGGCCTTTAAGTGTTTGTCTCCATTCTGTACAAGCTCTGAGTCCCATGGACCTGGTCATCCACTTCTTCTCATTTTTAGAGGGATCTAAAAATAAAAACAAAATAAATGGACGGACAGTGCAGGGTAGTTGAAAGAAGGATGGACCTGAAGTTGAGGCCTGGGTTCTCGTCCCAGTTCTTCCACTTGCTAGCTATTTCACTTTGAGCAAGACACTGCATTTCTCTGAGCCTTGGCTTCACCCTCTGTAAAATGGGGATAATAAACACATTCCTATAGCACGTTAGGATTTACAAAACCCTTGCCTCACTGTGACCCCATTTTATAGATATGGAAACAGAGAGCCCAAATCGCCTGCTGACTGGAACACAGCTGGGAAGGGTTAAAGGCAGAATTCTGACCCAAGGCATCTCTTAGTCATGTGTCCACGGCATACCATGAAGAGCTCCGGAAATGGGGAATGGTGTTGTCAATTAGCAAGTGTTTAGTAAGTGCCTACTGGGTGCCAGGCACTGTGCCAGGCACAGGGGTCTAAAGACAAAAGGGAAGCAGGCCCTGCCCTCTGGAAAGTTATACTCTACTGTTATTATTCTTGGAGAGAAGAGTATCGTGCCCCACCCTCCCTGTCAGCTTCCTGATCTGATCACAGACCCCTTCATTCATATCATATCCAAGCAGACAGATCTGCCCACCAGCGTGGCCCTCCCTGCCGTGCCCCTGGGTCTCAACCTAAGTCTGCATTTGCTGCAAATCCTGACGGGAGTGGGAGGAGAAGCAGCATGCCCCTCCCAATTCCCCCCCACCCTTCCCTAGCACCCCCAATTCCCTACTCACATATACACACTTTTCATTCTACCTTCAGTCTTTGGGAAATGAGGAGCAGCCTTTCTTGGGGAGACGCTGGGGCTCTGACCTGCGCTCCGTGAGCCAAGAGGAAGTGCACAAGGAGAAAATAAACAGTAGGTGTCTGGGTTTTCTCCATCCCTGTCCTGAGCAAGGCCTTTCCACCCCCCACCCCTCCCAGTCCCACTTCAGCCTATGTTCCTTCCCCTTATATGGCCATGCAGGTCCAAGACGGCTCCACTGCAGGCTGGGAGGGGTGCTTGAGGGCCTGCTGCCTGTCACCTGGCTCCCCTCCCTCACGCCATTCTCAGTGGCCTCAAAGTTGGAAGAATTTAATGACCTTTCACTTTATTGTTCATAAATAATAATTCCCATTTTAACAGCACTTTCAGGGTAATGTTTAGCTTTTCTTATATCAGCCCCTAGGTCTTTCAAACATTGCTATCCTCACTTTAGGGAAACTGAGGTCACAAGAAAAGTGAGTTGCCCAAAGTCACAAAACTAGTTAAAGGTACAGCCAGAACTCCCACCTAGCTCTTATCTCCCAGATTTCTGCTCTTCTCACTACACCTTGAGAAGGAAAAGCAGGAAGAGGGGGAAGGGGGTCCTGTTAATCAGCTCCAATGAAAGGGGACTACTGAGCTATTCTCAGGAGTATTTAGAGAAAGCTTTTCTCTGTACATGAATTGTGCTGTAGCATGGAAGGGACCTTAGAGGTCATCTTGTCTTATCTCTCATATTACAGATGGAGAAACTGAGGCCCCAAAAAGTGAAGTGACTTGTCCCATGATCACGGAGGAGGTAAGTAGCAGGACTAGCACTGGAGCCCAGTTCCTCTGACCCCATATCCAGTGACCTTTCCACTGTATTATTTCATAATAGACTTACACTACTGAGGGACACCAGGGATATAGCCTGGAATAACAGAAAGAACCCTGGTCTGGAGGTCTGGGCTCTACTTTGGATTCTGTGTGACGCTGGGTAAGTCCTTCCCCCTCTCTGGGCATTTTATAAAATAAAAGTTTGGAATAAATGATCCTTAAGACCTCTCCCCTCTCAGCCCTCAGCTCTAACATTCTCCATTTCTAGTGACACCCAAGACTAGGGTCCAATTTAGGGCATGGAAGGCTGGAAAAAACATCTTTTTTAGGTTGGGGGTATAGGAAAGGTCTGAAAGAGTAAGCACCTTGTGAAGGAAGAATTAAATCCTCAGATTTCAGGGAGAACTAGCAGTGCCTTTAGGATCCTTTGTGTTCCCTGGCCAGCTGGGAGAAACTAACCAGCTGTTAGGTACACTTGCCATCTTTGAGAGGCAGTGTGGTCTGATATAAAGAACATGACAAAGATGATCCCTGAGGGTCATTTCCCTTCTACCTCTTTGACTTTATGTTCTCTGGTTCTCATCCTGGCTTTTGCCACTAACTTGCTGTGTGACCTTAGCCAAATTACTTTTCCTCTCAATGAAACAAAGAGGTGAAATGATAAATGGCATTTACATAGTGCCTTGAGTTTTACAGCACTCCACGTTTTACCAAGCTTAACAGCTCTGTGAAGTAGTGGAAGTCAGGATATCTGATTCTTGTCCAGGCTCTACCACTGAACCTGGGTGAGTCACTAACCCTGAACATCATTTTCTTCATCTGTAAAACAGGAGGACTGGAGTATATGACCTCTAAGACGCAGGGTAGTGGTATGAATAAGTGTTGAAACTGGAGTCCCAGGACCTGAGTTCAAATCTTAGCTCTGGCCATATACTACCTGTATGACCATGGATAAGTTACTAAACTTCCTGACTCCCTCCTGTGGCTCTAAGAAGCTGTAAACAGGTGCAGTGGCCATACCCCAGTAAAACCACCTGGGTAGGCAGACTAAGTCAGGTTGAGGGTAACTGATGGGCCTCAACTCATCAGTAAGTTAGGGGTGTGTCTACCCCAAGCATGTGAAGACTTCCCCCAGCAGAATGAGTGGATGAGAACAGTTTACTGCAGAAGCCGTGAAGGCGGCTGAAGCAGGAACTACAGATGACCTAGAGCCTGGTTAAATATCAAAGATTCCAAGGTCATCCACTGTATCCGGGACTATCACCAGTCATCTTTACTTTTGTCCTGCCACTGGACTTCAGTGGCTTTGGATGAGAGAGTGAGGCTAATGACTTTGTGCAGCTCTGCCTCATTTGAATCCAGTTCATGCACGATTCAAGAAATCATCAGTGATGTCATTGGCCCTCTTTGAAAAATGAAGGTTGTGAGTCAGGACCACCCGAGTTCAAATCCAGCCTCAGATACTTGACACTTACTAGTTGTGTGACCCTGGGCAAGTCACTTAACCCCAATTACTTCGAAAGAAAAGAAAGAAAGAAAGAAAGAAAGAAAGAAAGAAAGAAAGAAAGAAAGAAAGAAAGAAAGAAAGAAAGAAAGAAAAGAAAGAAAGAAAGAAAAGAAAAGAAAAGAAAAGAAAAGAAAAGAAAAGAAAAGAAAAGAAAAGAAAAGAAAAGAAAAGAAAAGAAAAGAAAAGAAAGAAAAGAAAGGAAATGAAGGCCGAACAACAACTAAACTTCCCTGGGTCTCAGATTTGTCATCTGTGAACTTAGAAGATCAGGTTAAATGACCTCTAAGGCCCCTTGCACTTGTGGACCTATGATCCGATGATACATTTCAGCTCTAAAAGGTCCATGATTCTATTATCTTCATTTTACAGACAAAGAGACTGAGGCTCAGAGAAGGTAAACAATTTGCCCCTGGGCTAATAAATGTCATAGCTAGGATGCAAAGCCAAGTGTCCTGACTCCCAATCTAGCTCCATTTCCATAAAACCACACTGCCTTTCACTAAGGTCATCAGGACCTCAGCAACCAGTGTGAGAGGACAGATCAGAGAATAATATTAACTCCCCACTAAGAGAGTCCCAGGGCCCCTGGGCTCAGTGTGGAAGGGAACTGTTACCCACATGACCTGCATGCCTTTCTTCCTTCCAACCTGAAAGGGCCAGCTTGACTGATGCCATTCTTTCTTCCTTACTCCTGAACTAGACCACCACAATGAGCCCACTTATGTGAAAGAGTCAGAATCCAATGGAAGTACCTCGTGACCTGGGACAAAGACTCCAGACAAGGCCAGACAGCTTCTCTGGCCAATGTTTCTCTCTGTCAGTGAAGTATAACTGCTTCAGTCAAAGTGAACTTGGAAAAGGATGAGGGAAGGAAGAAGTGGGGAGGAAAGTGGGGGATAGACTTGACAGAGGTAGAGGCTGCTTAAGGCAGAGGGAGGGGTGGTGAGAATGTAACAGGAAGAAAACAAACTCAGAAATGTTCCATGGACCAGTCTTAACATCCTGTGTGCTCTCCAGGCAGCTGAGAAACCTCAAGAGATAGAACATCTGTCGCCCTGTGTCCCGCTCCTGGGACTCTGCAGCCTACCTCCCCAGGGGCGGAGCCAGCATTAGACAGTGGGAGAGAAAGCAGATGGCTCTGTCTGGCCTGCTGAGCATCTGGGGGAGACAGCCTGTCTCTTTACTTTATAGGGAAGCCTACACAGTAATCCAATGCCTGGATTACTACCCACGATTCAGTAAATTTAAACAGTTTTATTTGCTCTTTTACAAAATGTATGCGTGCATACGTATGTATATGTGCCTATGTGAATTCATGTATATATTTGTGCATGTGTGCATGTGAGTCTGCACGTTGTATGTATATGACCTGTACAAGTCTGCAATATACG